CAAGAAAGAACTTTACGATGTTTATAAAAGAAATAAGCACAGTTAAATCTAAAGCTCTTTGAACGATCGTCTCTTAGCAGTTACAGTTATGTGACAATAATGACGAAATTTACAATTATTACATTTATATACATACGTGTATGTATATAATTTTTCTCGAATAAAAATAAAATTTTTTATATTTCAGAAAGATTTGTTCAACAATTATAAAATTTTCATACTTTTTTACTAATGCTCATAATTACAAAATCTTTGATAGTAATAAAAATTTCAAGAAAATCGTTGAGAAAAATATTTTTGCATATTTTGCCGGTGAAACTCTGGCTTTAGGTGGTCATTTCGAGTTTTGCACCATACTTGGGTCATTACTCCTGATATAAGTAAATTTTTTTTATTAATAAATCCGAGTAGCGTCAATAATTCACCTGTGATTCTGTTCCCAGCCATGTTTTTGGCAGAAATGTCTCCTACTGCACCTTTCCAATGAAACGACTCCAAACCAGAGATGTTGAGTAATAACTAACTAATTGAATAATCTACAAAATGCAAAATTATGAATTTAAAGTGTGAATTGTATTGAAATTTCGCAAATTTCTTTTGAACATTTCAAAAATATGATATTGTTCTGCTTCTTCTACCATATTTAAAACCATCTAAAACAAGTAATTATTTTGCTCAAACATTTGAGAGCAAATTTCGATAAATTTTTCTTTTTTTCAAAATATAATGTAGCATATGAATAAATTTAAAAGATATTTCATCCCTCCTAAATTTCCATTATAAGTGCGAGCAAAAAAATTAGAAAAACAATGTGATAAATTTAAGCAAAAATGAAAATTCAAAAAAGAAAAATAGTCGATAAAAATGTTCTTGAAATCTCGCCTAAAAGCGCCTAAAAGCAAAATGTATTGGCTCTATTTTAAGCCTTTTTAAGCCAAAGCTAGGAAAAAGAAAAGAAAAGAACATTGGCGTCGCCATTATTTCTCTATTTCCGATTCCGATCATGAATAAATCTATTATTATCAATGGGCGAAAACCTGTGCAAATTTCATTCAACAGATACTCGTTGCTCATTTAAAAAGCCCCAACATATTAAAATAGTAAAGGTAAAAAAAATAAAAATTTAAATTCATTGCTATATGTATTTGACCTAAAAAATAAAAAATTCCAATCTTTAATAAATTCAGAAAATTGAAAATTTAAGAATTTGAAAAGTCGTTAAAATCTTACTTTAATCTTAAAATCTTGTATTTTTTTTATATTTCAACAATAAATTTAAGACGCCAATGTTCAGTGCTTACCATTTCTAGTTAGACTATCTGCGCTGGCTACTAGAAGAATTAGAAATTTAGCCATGAAGATATTTGGCCATAGAACACGAGTTCGCATAACAAGTGGGATCCATATTGTAAATCCTCTCCTTATTCTCTGCTTAATAATTTGAACTATTTCCATTTGGCTTATCATTTGGCTTACCTTCTTAAATTGATAAATGAATAATTGAATAATTTTAACTGAAATATCGTATAAAAAACACTCGTAACAATCCATTTTAAATATGTGAACTTAATTTATTGAAATTAAGTCGATTTTTAAATTGAAAAAGACGATGCTTTTGAATTTAAAATTATTAATTCCTTTTGAAATAAATTATCGAATTGTTTAAATATGCTCAATGGACATTAAATAATGCTTGAAATCCTGCAAATCCTGCAAAAATGGATGATAAAGTTTGGAGCACTGCTCCGTTCAAAGAATCAAACCAAGTTTATTTGTGTAACGCAAATAATATAAAAAAATGTTTGTGATAAAATGAAACCATTAAGTGACAGAATTCTTGCGCGATTTCCTGATTTCTGATTATGATGATTTACGCTTGCATTTCATGACAAATATATTTTGAAGCCGTCATATTAGTTATTGTAAGGCATAATTTTTCATTCTTATGGTAAATAATTTAACGAAAACACATCGCGATTCAATTTTTATAGTCTTTTTCCCTGTAGGTTCTCATATCGACGAATTTTTTCTCTTTTTATAAATCTTAAATATCTAATTTTGGTAAACAAGAAAGCCAATGATTCTTCAGAATATCTTATTATGCAGAGAAAAGGTTTCTGTTTTCTATGAGTGAATCTGTTAATAAAAACGACTGATGAGCCACGAACTCTGGCAAATTCCTGACCATATTTACCAAACAGAGCTAATTTAACCATATTTAGCGGGCAATAATTATTTTTTTTCATTTAGTTTTCTAAATAGTTTTAATTCTATTTTAACAAAAACCAAATTATTTCGTAACTCGTAGAAAACATGAAGAAAAACGCTTTGTTTGAATTGCTGATTTGCCGTTTTTCGAAGAAATTTTTAAAAAAATTTATGAATTAAGGGATAGAATGGGGTAACATGTTGCACTTATTCATAGGAAGGTCGTTGCTTTCTAGCCTCTGCAGTAAATTTGCTGTATTTCACGATGAAGTTGGTGATCTACGCCTGTACTTCTACAGTTAAAATTTCCCTCTATGGCAAAATTTAATTGATCCGACAAGCCAGCTGAGTGAGCCAGTCTAACCAGAAATAATAAGCGATCCTAGAATAAGCGAAAAAGAGATAAATTTATGGATATTACTACTGTTTTATTAAAATGACTTATGGTGCTCCTTTTTTTTAGAGCACATCGTTAATAATAGGTTTTTTATCATTGTTACTAACAATGATAAATGATAAGACTTAAATTTCGATGTTTCAGGTGGTCTTCGATGGACTTGGTATTCTTTTATTTATTATTTTTCTTCCATATATTCAATTAGTTTGTTTGTTTGACTTTATTACTTTCAGGAGAATGAACTTCTGGGAGTAATTTAGTCAAGTTTTTAAAAAAGATAATTTCAAGGCCAACGAGAAATATTTAAGATATAGACGAACTAGCTGGAGCGCAATCAAAACTAACAGAATATATGCAGTCGTTAAACCCAGTCCATTCAATTGTATTTGTAAAATATTTGCATGTTTGTAAATGTTTTTTATTTTTCAAACGGTTTCGTCATAGTTAATTGTTCGTCATAGTTAAATGTTCCGTCATAGTTAAGAAGGGTGTTGGAACATCGCTTCAAATACTAGCAACCTACCGTCACTTGCTTCATCGATTTTCAGTCTTCTTTCGCTTGATAGAGCAGAGCTCTGGAAAGAGATGGAACATACGGTGTCCAAGAGAAGATCATTCGACTCACAAAGGCATTTTATCAGCATACCCTGGCACATTTCTGGTATATGGGGAATTGATAGACTCGTTCGAAATAAGAACTGGTATCCGTCAGCTTCTCTGTCCTTTCCCCTACAATATTCAACTATGCGATAGACTGGATAATGATCATCGCTTGTCGGCACTCAAGAGGTGTGCAAATCAATCCAGAACATAGCATAATCATCGAATACGCTGTCCTTGATGATGTAGTCCTTTTTGCTTTTATAAGGTAATGCAAATAATGTTAAACAATATTTCAACAATTGCAGCGAGAATTGGACTCAAAATCAATATAAATTAAACGAAAGTGGTTTCATCTTATATACAAGATGCTAATAAAATACCTATTTTTATCAATTCATTGCCGATTGAAAAAGAATTTTAAATTCACTTAGGATCCACTCGAATCCCAAATGGCCAAGCAAAGGATGAAATAATCCGGATAACGACAGCTAGAAATATGTTTTCCGGCTGATGGAACCTGTATGGAACCGTCGAGAAATTACCATAAAGATGAAAATCCGAGTCCATATAGCTGCGAAACATGGCCAATCAGGTGGAAAATATTAAGAAGTTATCAGCCTTTGGTCGCTCATGTCTAAGGTACATTCTACGGATCCGCCGAGCAGATAAAATCGCACATGATTGTATCCACCTTCGCTCAAATACCATCTATATTAGTAATATTATCACAGAGCGTTGCCTTTGCTGGTTAGGGCACGTTCTCCGTCGTCTACTATAGAAGTTGACGCATATTTCGCTTGGTAAACCCAGTGATGGTTGGCGTTAAAAGCGAGAACAGGCAGTCAAGACCTTGACTGACACACTCAGGAAAGATTTTGAACGTATAGGAGGACCAGTGATATGAATTTAGACGATGGAAAAAAGAATGGCCTATATTACCACTAGCGATGGCGTCGGACCGAGCAGCTTGGAAACTCTTATTGTCATCGGAGCCAGCCCAAACAGTAATGGTGAGATAGATCTGTTAAAAGAAGAAGAAACTATAGTATTTCCACTATATTATTCTGTAAATAGATTAAATAATATCTCACCATTAAGAATAGTATAAAGTTTTTTTCCTAAGACTTTGTTTACACAAAAAAGAAAATTTCCCCAAGGGGGATGGATTAATATGGTCGATAATAATAAGATTACCAGTACCTCAAAATTTGATGAAATGGTTTTTCACTCTAAACTATTACTATTACCTTTCTCTCTTTATTTACCTTTGTAGGAATAATCTCCTAAACGAAGATTAGGTGTATGCATTAACTTTCTTTTCCATTGCTCAACATTATGATTGATTGCGTTCTAAAATAACTAACTAATAACTAGTCTGTTTGTTCAGACACTTTCTTTCCAAATGTAATTATGAAAAATGCATAAAGAAATAAAGCTGATAGCAATTTTGCTGAAAATATCCAATTTTTATTCACATTTTACCCCATAAAGCATTAAAAGCCATAAATTTAGGCCTTAGAACTAATTTATGCATATCGGCGTTGGCCGCAACTGATTTGTTTTTTGATCACTCACTGAATTGTTTGCTGACTGATTAAATTGGACATTGAAAAATATAATAATAATGTCGTGAAATATTATGGAATAAAAAACTTTAATTTATATTAATTACAAAAATTGTATTAAAAAAATGATATGATTCAGATATGCACTGAATTCATTATCGAAATGGAGACTTCAAATCATGGTTTTTCTGAGAGTTTTCTGTACTGAGGTTTCTGATTCTGATTCGCTAACAACAACAGCAACATATATCACAATCATCATCACCATCAAGACAATCGCCTAAGCAACATCCACAGCACATTGCTAATAAAGCAACCAAAAAGCATTGCGACTTATCCATTCTTCGTCGTTCTCTGCAATTTGAGCGAGAATCAAGAAATTTCCGACGATTCTCGACGAGAGAAAGAGAAATAATAGTTTCAAGAGTTTTTCAAGAGTTTTTTACAATTATACTTACGGTTGTGGTGGTTGTTGAATAATGTACTGCGGTTGTGGTGGATTATTTTCATAATATTGCCCATAGCCTGGTTGACCGTAGTATGCATTAGGCGGTGGTGGTTGTGGTGGATATCCTTGCTTCAAACATTTGTCTTCAACTTTACTTCACCAAAGGAAAAAAAATTCTTACCTTATTTGTAAATTTTTCTGTAGAATTTTGCCGTTTTACACTGTAAAGAAATTTCTACCATAGCAGACAAACAAGCAGACAAATTTCAAACATATCTTACAAAACCTTAGTTTTTTCGAAAGAGGTTCTGTGAGAAATGATTTGGCTAAGGTCAAATTCATCAAAAAGAAAGCTTAATGACTCAAACAAATATCTTAAGCGATCAAATCCTCTCATTATTGTCAAAAAGTGCTTCAACAAGATTTTATTTTCGGGAAGAATTACGATTATTTATTAATATTTTATAATTTACCGAATATGGCTGCTGACTCATTTTGTTTAATGGATTAATGTATGATCACTGAAAAATATTCAGCGTAAAAACAAAAAATATTCTATTATATACTTTAAATATTTAATAAATTAGGAAGAAGTTTAATAAACTAAACAGAATCCATTAAGCGGTTTTTTTCGTTTTCCTTTCTATCCTCTTCACCTCTCTTGATTTCTTTTTTATGCCCATTTGAAGGCGAGGCAAAAGCGGCTTCAATTCTCTTGTGGTAAAAAATAGTAATTGCTCCAAGCACTTCAAAAGTGCGCAAACTACTTACAAAATATGGCTTTGCGCATTACACGAGAACTGCGATATGGTCAAATAATTAGTATTATATTATCTATAAAAATATAGAAAAAACACCTGCTTTCAATGAACTTTTAGTGATGCAGGCGAGTACCAACTAATTCCCAATCGCTAGAGAAAACGTGGAACTTCTTATTTTGTTGCTTTAATTCGAGTATATTTGGCTCTAAAAACTCTCGAAAAGAACAAAAATCTTAAATAAATAACACAGTTTCGCTGAAAAAAATAATAATTGCTATAAAACGACTGGTTTATAATTCTATATTTATCCATTAGTTAGTTCCCCTGAATTTCTACAGACAACGTATGGAATTCATTGAGTTTATATTTGGATTTACAATATCATATCATATATCCGATTTACAATATCATATATCCGATATTCAACCATATTTCATCATGAGCCATCACCTTTCCATAGAATTTTTTTAAAAGGAGCTGGCACTTCACGATTCTTCACCGATCATCAATCATTTCTCTTAGTCAACTACTGCATAGGTATGATTTTGGGCTGTTACTATTTTAAATTATATCCTTAAAACAGTGAAAGAGGTGGACTATATCAAAACGCCAATTATGATACGCAATAGACCTAACGAAGGACACCTTCTGCTTCTCCGGTACCACAAAAATACCCTCTCTTTTGTTTTGTTTAAATATGTTTAAATATGTAAAAAAAATATGGACAAAAAATTCAATCACTATGCATCGATACGAAATTTAATTCACAGTCCAAAATATTAAATTGCTGATGAATTTAGACTGCTAAATAACAGGTAGAATAATAACAGGTATAATAACAGGTAATAACAGGTTGAACAGATTAAAGTACCGGCTAATGGCAAAAACATCGCTGTAAAGCATAAATCCGATATAAAACTGATTAGATCTAAATGATAACAACAAGCGATAAATGAGTCTGACATAAATGAACAAAATGATCCAAACAAATTTTAGCAATGGATACGAGTTCCACTCCGACGTTTGATTGGATAAAGCGATTCGAAAAAAATTTAAATTACTGGATAATGAAATAGCTGAAGTAATTTGAGCGAAGCCTTGACAAGTGAAACGATTGTCACAAAAAAAGCGAATAACGAACAACGAAAAACTGGCAACTCGAAATAGAATAACAATATAAGCCAAGAAACTCACAAAACATCAATTCATTCATCTCACACAGATCATAGAAATTTTTCAACAAATATTTGTCGAACCAGTTGTGAAAATGAATGAATGAATCCGATGTTTTCTCGTTGATCTATTATTGAAAAATTACAATATCGATGAATCAACAAGGAAAACTTGAAATTGCAATTCATGTTGCCAAAAGATTCATGCTGGTTTAGGCATAGGTAGGCATGTATGAAAAACCTTTTTCTTGAATACTTGACGATTCACTTATCGACGTTATGGAAGAATCGACAATTCTCAAGGAACTGACTTGAAAAAATCAAAGCATGGAATCTACCTACAAAATAGCAAATTAATTGGGTTGTTAAATATCACCAATTTGCACCAAAATTTGCACGATATTTGCGTACATAAAGCGAATATTATTATATCATTCCTTTCTTCTTCTAATGTTTTTTTGATTTGTCTGCTAACACAAAAGATGCGATTCTTTCGATTCATTTGGTGGCAGAAGGATCGATATAGGAAGATAAATCGATTCAAACACAACATTCATTCATAATACTCCAGTCAGCAGGAATTGAACCTGTGACAGTGCTGAACTACCTTGCCACTCCACCATCTTGTTTCCCTCTTTTTGGTCCATATATATGAGATTAATATTTGTCATATTTTTTTTTATATTTCAGTTAAAATTGATAATTCTCTAGTTATTGCTACTGAATAGGGCAGGGAAGAGAAATGAAAGCAACAAAATCATAATTCAAAGTTTAAGAAAATATTTATTATTAAAAATGCAATTAGCGTTCAATTAGCACAAAAAATAGGTTATTATTGATAATATGTTATTAACTGATAAATTATATTTAGCGATTAGGTCTAAAAATAAGATATTGTTTGGTGAATACTATTTCCCCACCGGTAAAACATATGTATATATTTATACAAATATTTCCCAGCGGTTAAAGCTGAACCATCGTTTTTCTTGGGCCAATTTTTTTTAGCAAATTTTATTTATTTATTTATTTATTTATTAAATTATAATTATTTAATTATTAATATATAATTATTAATAATAATAATTAATAATTATTTAATAATTATTTATTTATTATAAATTTATTTTTTATTTATTTTTTCTTCATTTCAAACAACTGTTATTTGTCCGATTTACTTTCCCATCTCGTAAATATCTATGAAATATCCACAAATCATTCCAAATATCAATTAACTCAAAAGGGTTTTTTTTAGAATATTTTATTTTATTTTTTAGAATATTTATTTTATTATAAACAATTTGAGAATTTTAAAATATTCATTATTGTATTGTATGAAATTCTCTTTTTTAAAAGTGATTACTTTATTTCCTATCCTTTTTAAATTAAAATTATTAAAGAATTAAATTATTTAAGACAGCTAATAATTTAGGTTTTTAAGTCGATTTTTATTATTATTTTTTACTTTTGCTTTTTTAGGGTTCAGAATAACATAACATCCATCATCATAATTAGCTGATCAGTTGAAAATATGTCGAAATTCATACACAATTTCTGGTTTGATTGGTTTTGAAATATGCCGACTCTGTTGGAGAATCTCTTGAGTCTGAAAGAAATAAGTGGATCTTCGTGCATCTGTAGAAAAGAACTTTTCTCTACTTATTCAATAATTTCCAAAGGAAGAAATAACGCAAAGCAGAGTTGATTTTTTTGATATTTTATAAAAAACTGGATTAGCTGCGATTCAGTTTTTTGTTTATTTATGTGTTTTGTTCATAAACGAATGAAAGAAATATGAATTTGAAAGAATTTGAATTTGAAATTTTTCGAGAAATTTTAATGAAATTATAATCCTATAAATATAATAAAATATAAAAATGTAGTTTTTTAGAAAATTGATTGATTTAAATAAATTTTTTAATAATTTGTGTGAATAAATTTTTTGAAAGCGAATAAACAATTTCTATAAATTCCAAAATTTTCGCTTTTCTCTTATATAATTTATTTCTAAAATAATTATTTTTGAATAAATTCTTTTATTTTTGCAAAATTTTCCTATTTCGTCGAAATTTCATTTGTCTCAAAGAATTAATTTTCTAGTGAGAAAAATCAAATTTTTCTCAACATCGGCAAGAATAGATGGCTAATGATCGAGAGATTGAAATGGTTAGGTTCATTCCCGTCGGCTATTAATATAAGATTTTTGTAAATTTTTCCTAGAAAGCTGAAATAGAGATTTCCAATCAAAAAACTTATTCACACAAATTATTAAAAATTTAATGTAGAACAGAGACTAATTAGCTAATAATCAACTAATCAACTAATCTTAATACTACTAATCCTTTCTTATATCTTATGAAAAATATTTCTTCTGTGTTTATTAATATATCTATAAATTAAATATCCAGAATGAGACCAATATTTTGTTTTCTTCTAATCGTATTTTCCATTTCTGATTGGGTGATCCCACCGACTATTAAGGTGAGGCTTTTTTGCCAGGCAATTGGCACTAGAGGTGCTATTAGGAGATCAAATGCTTTAATGGCACACTTGTTCCTACAAAGCGGGCAGAATTGAACCTATTTTGGCTTAATTTTGATCGAAGCAACGTGCCATATTACCATTCTTTATCCTTATTTTTATGTTCCTTGGTACGGATTCTTAAAAACCATATTTCGAATAATTCTTCCCATAATTTCGCCAATTTTTAAAAATGCTTGAACTTAAAAATAAAAAGTAATTTTTTAGCGAATCAGTGAACTATTTTAAATTTTTCAAAAAAGTTTCAATTGTTATTGTTGGCCTTATTCGGTTTCAAATTCGTTCCATTTTATGGCGGTAATTATTCAGTTCCACTTAATATTTTTCTTTATTTTTTCTTACAGTAAACATTCTTTATACAAACAAGTACATTACATTTCATAATGAAAATTCTTCTTTACCTGTCTGGTGTGCTATGGTAGATCTGATGCTTGGTACCTGTTCTCATGCTGTTATAATCATGCCGTCTTGCCGTGTCTTTTAAATTAAGCTTTTCCAATCGCTGATAGGATTTCTCAGCGTCAACCACCACAATTATTTGTCGATATTCCATGTACATATTCCATGGAAGATGGTATTTTCAACTTGGTCTTTCTTCAGTGTCTGTTGATACTTCAGGTTCTCTTCTCATTCCTTGGTGCCATCTTGCTGATGTATTTCTTATATTGTTTCGGGTTTCGTGGTATTCCTTTAAATATCCATCCATGGTATTCCTTTAAATATATTCTAAAAGGTACGTATCCGATGATTCGCAGAGCATTCATATTTATATGTTGATTTATATATGCAGGATAATTTATATT